AACTATATATAAAAAAAAAAAAACTAAAAAAATCCCAAATACAACGATCATGTTTAGTTTGTATTTGTGAAACAACTTTGAAAAATAATTTTTTGAAATGAGTACAAAATTTAAAAATTTGTTTAGTTATATGTTTTGAAAATAGTTTTAGAATTTTAGATGATTTAATTATTTTTTTGTTATTGAATAAATATGTGAGAAAAAAAGTGATTGTTTGATGTGTAAAAAATAGAAAAATGATTTTGATTTTTTTTTTTCCTAAAAATTTTCAACCAAATAACTTTCTAAAAAAATTTCTCAAAATTTTTTTCTTAAGAAACAAATCAAACAATGCTAATTTTTTAGCCACTTTAAAACAATAAAGACACTAATTAAAATAGCAAAGATCCAACCGAGTGTCATCCGACAACCAAAAATTTGCGAGGATGATAATAATTATTTTAGAAATTCTAAGAGCATTCATATCAGTGTTTTCAAATTTTTAGTTAAATTATAACATAAAAAGTCTTTTTTTTTTTTAATTTTAACTAGTCATCTCACTACATCAAACTCTCTATTCTAACTCAATCCTATTAAAATATTTGTTATTCTTTGTTTTATTAAATTGGTGAGCTGCCAGTCAAACAATTCTTATATTTCTTTGTAAAGGTAAAATTGGAGGAAATGTAAATAAAAAAAAAATAAAAAATGCCATTGACCGGTTGACTGGTCGGACGTCCGGACGGACATCCGGTAACACACATGTAGCGATAAATAATACCTCACTTGTTGTAGTGAGATATTGTAGCAATCACAAATTTTGACAAGCTATAAGCGAGACTGATAGAGGTCGTTTTTTGAAGTTTATATTGCTAGTTTAGCTAAGAAATGATTTTATCGATGCTGATGCTCTAAGGAGTGTGTTTAAAATTATAAAAATCTTGAAGGCTTTACAACAAATTTCCAGTACTTTTTAATAGTAATAAGGTGGTTTTTGGCAAGTGGTTTTGGGGTTAAAATAGCCAAAAAAAAAAACAAAATAGACTATTTTAGCCATAACAAACAAAACGTCACATTCAACCCATAATCATTACACTCTTCTCTCACGAAAAAAGTCAAAAAGCTCTTCCCAAACTAAGCTTTTTAGCCCAGGCTAAAATAGCTATAAAAGTCAAAAAACCAAAAAGTCAACCCACTTCCCAAACAGAGGCTAAATATTCTAACTAAAAACAGGCTTGTTTGGCGAGTAAGGTTTTAATTTTTTTTGGATCAACATTTAGAAAAAATAAATAAATAAAATAAATTAAAAATAGTCAATAAAATAAAATATTATAATTTGAGTATGACATTTTATCTTATTATACTAAAAAATTTATTTTATCTTTTTATAATTATTTTAGTAAAAAAAATGACCTGTTTAACTTGGGGTGCAAATTGGGCGGGTTCAACCTGAGCAACCCGAACCCAGTCCGAATTTTTTTGGGGCTTGGACAATACATTTTCAAATTTGGTATGGGCTTGGGCAAAAATTCAGAAACCCGAATTAAATTTGAACGGGCTTGGACAAAAATGTCAAACAATCCGAAACCCGAATTATACATATATAGATATATAAATATATTAAATATACATATAAATGATTAGCCATTACATGATATTAAAGTAATTTAGATTATTAAATCATATTGAATATATATTATTATACATATAAATTATTAGTCATTACATGATATTAAAGTAATTTAGATTATTAAATCATATTGAATATATATTATTATATATACAAATATACTTTTTTTATTTTCACTCATAAATTGTAAAGACTACTATAATGGCATCTCTCTTACATTATATAAATTATTTATTTTGATAGTATTAATGATTTTCTCTACAATAAAAAAAATGTAAATAGAGTCAAATTTTAATAATTTAATAATATAACTGTAAAAAAAAATTAAAATTCATTTACAATTCGAACAACTCGGACAATTCGGATTTAACTCAGGTCGAGCTTGAATATATAATCTCGGGATTATAATTTGAGTCTGGACAAGTTTGGATAGATCTCAGTACAACTTGAATTAGACATAGACAACTTTCCAACCCATCCGAACCCGCCCGAATTGCATCCTAATTTAACTTATGCAAAGAGGGATAAAATCAGTCTGTTTGGTTTGAGTTTTCTGAATTAAGTTTTTTGAAAACTGAATATTTTGTTTTTCGTGCTTTTTTGTTTTTAGTGAATATTTTAAAAAAATTTAACGCTTTTTATTTTTTATTTTTTAGATGCACCTTATTTAGATGTATCTAAAAAGTAAAAAAATTGTGAAAAAATATTTTAAAAAATTAATAAATACATAAAAATATAAAAAAATATATATTGAATTCCATCCTCTGATACCAAAAGGGACGGAAGCAGGAATATTAGAGAAGAAGAGGATGGAAATAAGATAATTGCAATAACACAAAGAAAATAATCAAAACCAAATCTTTAAAATAAAAGTTTAATAACTTACAATTGTTAACAGAAGTAGCACTGGATTGTTGCAAAATACATGTTTAAACAAAAGCATATTGACTAGTTGACTAGGTGTTTGGTTCTCACTTAGTTCTCACACAGAACTTTTATAGTTTTGAACCTCTGTCCAAAAATGATTTAACCATTGTAATTTATAGAACGAAAATTAACTATGCAGCATGTGACTTGAGATTGATCATGAGAGCAGCTGACGGCACATGGGCAAAAGCAAGCTGTCTGATGCTTTCGGCGGATTGACAAAAGTTGAAGCAACTTTTAGCAGATTGATTGAGTGATGAACAGTAAAAGTGAATAGTGACTTTTTACTATTCATTACTTTCGGTGGAGACATGTTAATAAGGGAATCAATATAAATACAAATTGGCAGCTTTTCTCAAAAGAATATTGATTGAAACTAATTTGTATCTATATGAAATCCAATGCAGGGTTGACTAGGCATATGGGTCCTGAGTATCTTGGAACTCGGGTCCATATTGGTTTTGAGTAGTTGAACCTTCAGAAGAGCTTGAACTGTCTGAACTTTCCTCTGAATTGTTGTTATCCGAATTATCCGAATCTGACTGGGCTTCAGCTTGGTCAACAAATAGACGGGCCATCTTGAGAAGCTCATCTCTGGATGACTTGGTTTTAACTTTGGGCTTAACTGGAGATACAGGAGTTATAGATTTAACCTTGGACTTTACTTTAGCAGATGTGGGTTTTGCTTTATCCTTTGATTTTGGCTGAGCAGAGCTGGTTTTGGCAGATTTGGACGTCTTAGGTTTGGAAGAACTTGAAGTTGGGCTTTCAAGATTAACAGTAGGAAGTTGGCTTCCTTGGATTATTGAAGCAGTTGGGTTCTGCTGAGATACAAAAAAATAATGAATTCTTGTATTTTTTTTATATTTTTGATATTTAGTAAATTTGTAAAAAGTTTTTTTTTCACAAATTTTTAACTTTTTAAATATATTTATATTAGGTATATTTAAAATTTAAAAAAGTTATTTAAAATATTAAAAAAAATTATTAAAAACAAAAATCACAAAAAATAAGAAAAAACTGTTTTCAGAAAAACGAGACCCAACAACTGAGAAGAGAAACCCAGAAACTCGGGAGCTTCTATTTACACACACATAACTCTCTCTATGCACATCATTCTCAGTACACACACATAAAAAAATTAAACTTAATTTGTTTTACTCACTGCACACACCTATTTTCCAAATACCCTCAAAGCCAAATTGTGCACACACACATACACACACATTGTGCACACACACATAGACATTGCAGCGGCTCCCCATTCCGTCTCTTTCACACACACCCATCTCTCACTCTCACAATGTGTACCGTCCGTCCCCCACCTCCATTGAAGACCTCCTCATTGAAGAAGTGCCATTGAAGAGCAGTGAAGAAAACTCTCTGTCCATTACTATCCCTCACATTTGGAGATTTAGGTTAGTTTATTGATCTTAAAATCCTCATTTGTATGTCATTTGTACTTTGGGGTTTGTTTGAACCATTTTCCGATCGAAGAAATAGCCCACTGTCATGGATGATTTTGTGCTTCATTTGGAACTGGTTTTCCGAAATGTATTGTTTTTGCTGGAAATCAAGCTTCGAAATATGCCCAATAAATCGACAGTCAACTGCAGAAATTTTGAAGTTCATTCGGCATACAACTTCCGAACAGTCAACTGTCGAAATTTTGAAGTTCATTCGGCATACAACTTCCGAAATATGTTAAGTAGTTCGACCCTGGTTTTCCGAACGACGCTGGGAAAAAAAATGGAGCAAAACTCACATTTCCTTGGTTACCTTTCTCATAAACAGTTAGCTGCTTCTCAAGATCTGAATTTTCAGAAGGTAAATCTTCCATAACAATGAGTGAGGATGAGATTTAGTGTGTAAACTAATGAAAAATGGAATGAAGAATGAAAATGAGGAAGGAAGAATGAGGAAGACAGCTTGTGGAAGGAGTGTGGAGCTTGTGCAAGGAGTGTACACTAATGAAGAATGGAGTAACTTTGGAGCTCTGGTATGGAGTAACGTGTGTGTGTGTGGATCATTTAGCAAAATGAGGAAGCAGAGGCATTGCAACGTGTGTGTATTGAGAGGATGTGTGTTTATTTGAATTGTGTGAGATGTCTATAATGGTAATTTTATTTAGGGATAAAATTGTAATAAAAATAAAATTCATTAAATGTGTGGAGCTTCTATTTACACACACCCATTCCCCTCTTTACACATCTTTTTCAATAAATAATTGGTTCGGAAGTAGATTTTTGAAAATAAGCAATTGGTTCGGAAGTAGCTTTCCGAAAATAAACAATTGGTTCGGAAGTAGACTTCCGAATTTTTATTATTTTTTCGACAATCAACTTCCGAATGGATTTATTTGATGTCTATAATAGTAATTTTACCTGAAAAAAAATTTATAATAAAAATAATTTTTATGAAGTGTGTACAAATAGGAGAAGGTGGATTGGTGTGTGCAAATAGAGGCTTCCCAGAAACTCCCTCACAGTTCCTAGAAACTTCCAAATGCTTTTTGCCTCTTCCCCAAGCTTCTCCACCCTTCTCTACAGAAGAGAACAGAAACCCCCCTACACAAACCTCCATAAATCACCTCTTCTCCTCAAAACAAAGAAAAGAAAGAATTACAAACCCTAGTTTTGCTTCCACTTCTGCACAACTATGGCTACCTCCAGGACGACCTCCACTGCGAGGCTCACAAGGTCAGCTCTCTCCGCTCTCAAGCCCTCGTCTTTCTCTCAATCTCGACCCGCACTCTCTCGCTGCACTGAAATTCTCGCAAATGGTTCGGAGAATTTCTCAACGCGGCCTCGAATCAATACTGGTGTTGTGAAACCGTCATCGACCTTCAATGGCAGAGGATTTGTTGCTCCTCACTTCCAGTATTATTCCTCACGCTCTTATTCCACCGCCGTCAACTCTTCTCAGGTAGCTTTCTTAATCTTTTCTATTTTGTGTGCATTTTTGTTTGTTTTCATTTCCTGTTTACAAAATCTTTGGGACTAATTTCACTTTTTAAACTATCACAATTTTTATGTATTTATTTATTTTAATTGCCTTTAAACTATCAATTTTGTATATTTAGTTTTGATTTGTGTTCATGTGGTCCAATTAGACATGATTGTACAAATCCATTACAGTTGAAGCTTAATTTGATGGAGTTTGATTGGTACTAAACACCCTTTAAATTAGTTTGTGAGGTATATTTTGTTCACAATAGTAAGAAAAATGAGTGTTTTATTGTATGATTTTAGACAGTTTAAATCTCATCAAATGAGGCAGTGTTGGACCACATGAACAAAAATTAGAAACTTTAGGGATTAAACAGACGAAAATTATAGTTTATGAATGAAATAAGAAAAATGGTTGTAGTTTAGGGGATGAAAGTGAAATTAACTAAATCTTTGTTTACTACTATTTTCTTTTTGGAGGAATGTCATAGTTGTATACGACACAAACATACATATATCCATAAACAAACATTTGTATGAATATAAAACAACACATAATTGTATGCTGACAAGATTTGAAATTTGGTACGGGAATTCTAATACACACCTCATAAAAAAAATTGTATATCATATGCATCTTTAATTTCAGCAGTTGGATATAAAAAATTGAATTGGAAACATTGATCATAGCTAAATTGTGTCATTACCCATATCACTTTGGGCATAGACCGGTCTCTAGTCATAACTAAAAGTTGGCACTATGGGGTTGTGTCAACACACCACAATGCGTTACTTTGTATCTTTTGATTTGACAATTTGTTAATGCTACCACCACAATGGCCCATAACCAAACACCACAATTGTTTGTGGCTAACCACAATTTTGGCCATAACTTCCATATGATATGCATGGTGTGTGTTGTAGGATCACCCGGTTTGGTATTTCAAACATTAATTTGTTATTTTTTAAGGAGAGTCTTGACCCGCACTTGAAAAGCATGTAAGCCGTAACACCGACATGAGCTCATCTGTATTTTATGAGTTTCTTGCAATGGGAACATGGTGATGGGAAGGAAGTTTGATTAGAGGCAACCATTAATGTGTTTTTATTTTCTATATGAACTGTTGAACACCCATGTGGAGTTCTTCCTTTCTTTCTTTCCCCTTTTTTGTAGGTAGCATTTAGAATACCCTTGCATTAACCATGTGCCTGCTTGAAACCTCAACTTCTAAGTTAGGCGTTACAACTCCAACTGCATATCAACAAATAGTTGCTGGTGAGGAAGAGTTTCAGGAGTTCAGTTAACCTTGGTCTTTGAAATTATGGCAGAAAAACAAAAGAACAAAAAAATGGTATGTACAATTGAAGGTGGATTTTTTTAATGATTAATTAGAAAATGGAAACATGTTAAGCATGGCTGAAAATGTTTCCAGAGAACAATTTTTTTTGTTTTCAGGAGTTTAGTTAACTTTGTTTTTGTTGAGGGTCTTGAAATTATGTCTAAAAACAAAAGAACAAAAAAGGAACAATTGAACATGGTTTTTTGTAAGTGATCAATTAGAAGATGGAACCTATTATGCATGGGTGGCTAGGAAGCACGGATACGGATGCGGTGATATGGCAAAATTTGAAAAACTATGATACGGGTATGTCTAAAAACAAAAGAACAAAAAAGGAACAATTGAACATGGTTTTTTGTAAGTGATCAATTAGAAGATGGAACCTATTATGCATGGGTGGCTAGGAAGCACGGATACGGATGCGGTGATATGGCAAAATTTGAAAAATTATGATATGGGTACGGCGGGAATATGTTCGTAAAATGTATTATTTTTACAATTTTTAGTAGTGTGGTATACATAAAAACAAAACCTAAAGCAAAAGACAACTTAAAAAAGGAAGATTCCTATATAGTTAAGGGTCTTCAAGGTTAATAGCTTCAACTTGTTCCACTTGTTGAACCTAAACTTCCCGTACCCGAACTCATTTCCTAAAATTTATAAATTTGGTAAAGAAATAAAACAAAACATTAATGTAGTTATCTTTTAGCATGAACATAAAAAAAAATTCAGCAATTCAATTCAATTCAATTAAATCTCTTACATCTTTAAAGAGATAATCTGTAACAAGTTACTGAAGGGAAAACATAAATTAACATTAAGCAAAAGATGCAACACAGGTATAGAAAAAAAATTTAAGAGTAAATTTTTGGTTACTATTTAACAGGACTTGAATAGAGTAAATGCACCTCAGATTAGGATTGCCTTTCAGCTTCGCTACAAAAAAAAAGAAAAAAAAAAAGATATTCAAAGGGTGCGGCAGACATATGAATATGAGATTGAGCGAGAGGGAGAGACAGAGAGAGTGAGTGAGATTGAGCGAGAGGGACAGTGAGACCGAGTGAGAGAGAGGGACAGAGAGAGGGAGAGAACGAACCTTGATCGACTCCTCCTCTTCCTCCTCCTCCTCCTCCTCCTCCTTGCTGCTGTTTGCGAGCCTTGAGCTAGGGCTTGGTTGATTTTATTTTTTGTTTTATTTTAGATTACTTTTGTTATTTTACATTTTGATTCCATTATAAGTTTTAAAATTATTTTTTCATCCCACCGTATTCCGAAAGTATCCCAAGTGTATCCCTGAAGTATCCTCGCATATCCCAAATGTATCCGAAATTCAAGAAGTTTAAAAAAAAAAATTTGAGATACTTCTTTACCGTATTTGATATGTATCCTGTCGTATCGAACGCGTATCCGTATCTGATACATATCCGACACGCATACGAGGGCCATTCCGGAGTATCCGTGCTTCATAGATAGGTGGAAATGTTTCCAGAAAGCAATTATTTTATTTTATTTCCCAATTAATTGCTTTACTTAACAAGAAGAAATGACATTTCAACTTATCTTGTTTCTTGCTATTGAACCTTTGAACTTATTTTGATTTCAAAAAGGAAAAGTTTTATTTGGACGGTATATACATACCCACTTTAGAAAAGAAACAAGATTAGTGTTTGATGCAGAATATAAGACCATCTCCAATGGTTACTCAAATCTATCCTCAAATTTGAATTTGGTGAAAAATCACTCCTTTTCCTGCTCCAACGGTTTCATCAAATAGGTATCAAATTTAGGATTTTACTCTTATTTCATCAAATTGAGGACCAATGTGCCTTTTATCAAATCACTGTTCGTAGCCGTTTGATTTTCACCACTAGATGTCCCTCCAGATATCCTCGGATTACCACTTCAAGGCAAAAATTTGTGAAAAAATTACGTTGATTGGTCGACCCCTTGGATGACCACCTCAAATCAAAAATTTGTGAAAAATTTACACTGGTCGGCCGACCAGCTAGACATCTACCAGGGTCGACTAGTGTTCTGATGAAGTTTCAAAAATTTTCATTGGAGCACTTGATATCAAATGAAACTTTTACTCCAAGTTTTACTCAATTTTGATGAAAAATTTGATGCACCGTTGGAGATGCTCTAAAAATCTCAAGGAAGAGTAAATTCAAAGAAGTGGCAATATTTGAAAATTGACATGATTTTAAAGTGAAACTGATAGGAATTTTATATAATAATGTTTCTAGTATTATTAGAGTCTTATTTTATGATTATTTTTATGTTTTCTAGAATTTTTAAGTTAAGGGTATTTTGGTAATTTTTATTGTTGTCGTCATGGGTTATAGGAGTCGCCCATGGGTCATCTTGGGGGTCAAGTTATTTAATTGAGTTTTATGTTTCTTCTTTGGTCTTAAATTAGTTTTGAAAGTCTAAAATATTATAGCAGTTTCTTTTTTTAGGTCTAGTTGGTTGAGGAAGTCTCTAAAGTTTATATGAAGTCATGTAATGCTTTCAATTCAATTGAGTTAATATTTTATAAAAATTTGAGGGCTTTGAACCTTCTTCATGGATTGTGTGATGCAATAAAACCCTAAGTGTGATCCTATGGAATCTGGGTGTGATGCTTACACCTATCTTTCTTCTTTCTTCTTCTTTTCTGTTTTAGTTTACTGTTCACGAATTACTGTTCACAGCTTCATAGCAGCCCCTAAACAGTGCTAAAATCCCATATTTTCATGCTTTAACTCTTATCTATTTATTACCCTAAACAAACCATACTTGTCCCCTATATTCTTATTGCAATTGCAACCATAAAATCCAATTAAAATCAGCCCCAAAAGCCTAGATTTGTTGCTGTTCCAAGATCATAGTCATTTGAGAATTGAAAATAAGAATGCTTGCTTGAGAGTTTTCATTGTGCTTTTTGAGAATGGACTCAACAAGATCAATGTCATATTCCAACTCAATTTAATGAATTCTCTACTTTTAGTGTCTATGCTGCATGTATTCAGTAATAAAAACCTCATCAAATCGAATATGCTTCTTGTAAATTTTTCCTTGGGTTGATTTCTGATCTTCTTTTCGTTCTTCCATTTGCGTTCCCCAGAGATTTTTCTTTTCTAACAGTGAGATGCAACATATTTTTCTAATGCTTTTGTATGTGCTTAACAATTCCTTTATCAGATCAATAATTCAGAGTTCACTGAAATGGCATGGGAGGGAATCATTGGTGCTGTGGAAGCAGCACAAGCTTTGAAACAGCAACTGGTGGAGTCTGAGCATTTAATGAAAGCCCTTTTAGAGCAGAAGGATGGCTTGGCTCGGAGAATTTTTGCAAAGGCTGGTCTTGACAACACATCACTTCTGCAAGCTACAAATGATTTTATATCTCAACAACCAAAGGTATGCACATGAATGGTTTTCAAAAGCTAGTTGCTTTGGAAATATGGTCATCTATTTCTGTGGCAGGTGGTGGGTGACACTAGTGGTCCTATATTGGGCTCGCATCTCAGTTCCCTTTTGGACAATGCAAGAAAGAATATGAAAGAAATGGGAGATGCCTTTGTGTCTGTGGAGCATTTAGTGTTGGCATTCTATTCAGATAAGAGGTTTGGCCTGCAATTATTCAAGAACCTGCAGCTTAGTGAGACGGCTTTGAAGGATGCTGTTCAGGCTGTTCGTGGCAGTCAGAGAGTAACAGATCAAAGTACAAACTTGATCTCTTGTATTCTCATGGTTATATGCATTTCTATTCTACAAGTATAAGCATGGGGAAAAAAATCATTTGAGACTTGGAATTTGCAAATAATTCTATTAAGTTTTTTAACGCAAAGCATATTGAAGTTAGAAACATAAAAAAGCAAGAATCATAGAAAGAATATCTATGGTGAATCGCACGATTCACAACTGATTCTTGATTCAATTTACTAGTTACGATTCATGTGATTTTTGAAAGTATTGTGTCCAATAAATTTTGACCCTTTTTTACTTTTATTTTATTTTATTATTATTTAAAAATAGTCGAGTGACATATTTATTATGAAAATAACCAATACCTATGTATGATTTGTTGTTATTTTGGTGGTCAGAGGGTTTTTAATAGGATTCAATCTGATCTAGTCAAACCCACCATGTTCATAACCTTTGTTCCTCATTTTTTTTTTTCAAATGATACATTTCCTAAAGATGTTTAAGGTTAATATTACTTGAACCCATGAATTATCTATGGCTATTTTAGTGAAATAAATATGTTTGGTTATTACATGGGTCAGGTCAATCAAACCTAATGGTTCAAAAACTATTGTTTTAAAACTTGTTTTAAACAATAAGCATACAATCCTTTTAAAGTGTTTTGAATTTAAAAAAAAAGGATTCCACTTAATTCTTGAATTTTAAAAAAAAGGATTCCACTTAATTCTTTCCTCTTAATATATTCTACATAGGGTTCCTAGGTCTATTTTTTGTATGCCAAGAGAGATTGTATTATGATTTTTGAATAATTTTATGGTTGGATCCTATTTGGACCCATATTTGTTGCTATAAAGACAATGCCTTCTCAATTAGCCGGTGTAATCATGTCCTTATATAAGAATTATTTTATAACATGTACCAAAATCAATTTATAATAATAATAATAATTATTATTATTAATAATTATTATATATATGATTATTTAATATATATATATTTTTTATAGTTTGTATTGAATCTTAATGATTCTCGATTCCTGGTATGATTCACAATTCACAACGTTATAATTTTGATCGACCATACGATTCTTGACTTGACAGCTATGGATAAATATACCATAGATGCCACTCTTGGAGAAATGAAGGCTCTGTTTGGTGCAGCTTTCGAAAGTTGATTCCATCCTTTGGTTTGAGTGTGGTGTTTGGTTAGAGTTTTCAAAAATGGATTCCACTCCCATTTCGAAAACACATCTATCCGGTCATCCTCTCAGACGTCCGGCCGGTTGATTGGAACAGTCTTCGTGTTTTTTTTTTTTTGGCACATGTTATTTTTATATTTTAGATAAAAAAAAAATATTTTTGGAATTGTTTTAAATTTTTTATGAGCTTTGAATAGAATTTTAGGTTGTGTGTTTGGTTATGAGTTGTAAGTTTTTGAATCAAATATCATGTCACATTAAAAATTTCAAACTCAATTCAAAACTCTTTTCAAAATTTATAACCAAACAAATTTTCCACACTAAAATCATAATTTCAAAACTCACAAACTCAAAATACAACTCTATTCTCAAATCATAGTTTTAAAACTCTACCAAATGCTACTGAAGTAACCAATCTCCCATCTCAAATTGGATAACTTTGCTAGGAACATTAGTTTTAAAAAAATAAAATAAAATAAAAAAATGAAAATAAAAAATAAAAAAGAGAAGATAATTGGTCAATTTTGCAGTTCTTAAACATTTAGTTCTGAAGTTATATCTTTGTTTATATAGTTTTTCAAGCATGAAAAATGAATGAATAGGTTTTCTAGCAAAGGAATGTATTTGTTTAAATGATTTTCTCTCCTTTATGTAGAATTGACTCTTTATTCATTGCTTATTTCATATTCTTGTACTTCCTATATAAAATTTAAGCTGCATAAGCATGTGCGATGTATTTGTTTCTATTTCTTTCTTTATCTCCCACTGTATTTGAGTTATGATCATCTGTGCTTGCAAAGGTTCTTTGCTAACTTGTGGTCTACTTACACAAATGATGTTTTATTTAGATCCTGAAGGCAAGTATGAGGCACTTGAGAAATATGGGACTGACTTGACTGAGATGGCTAGGCGTGGAAAACTTGATCCAGTTATAGGTCGGGATGATGAAATAAGGCGGTGCATCCAAATATTATCTCGTAGAACAAAGAATAATCCTGTTCATTATTGGTGAGGCCTGGTGTAGGTGAAATGCGATTGCTGAAGGGTATGATCTTTATACCTTTTTGTTTGTTTCTTCTTTGGGGAAGTGGAGTCCATTATGGTAAATTTATTCATTTTTTGGAGATAGTACACAGTATTAGTTCCTTTGGTAAAATATTATGTGCAAAATTTTTAAAGGCGAATGCGTAATGTGAGGCATTTTAACCCTCATGAGGCGAGCTGTAAGCCTTTAAGGCGTTGATGCATAAGCATGTTGAATTTTAATTTTTTATATTTAGTAAATAATAAAAATTAAATATAAAGGTCTAAGTACTTTTCTGCTCAAGATGTTGAATATTTCACTTCCCTTATTGAAAGTGAAATTGACATTTTTTAATTTAGTAATTGAACTTCTCACTTGAGCATTAACTTTGTATTTTTTCTTGATTGGTCAAGTACTTAATTTTTCTACATAATATAGTTCCAAAAATAGTTATTTTTTTTAATTTTTTTGTTTAAATCATCTACTAGACTAAATTTAACAAGAGCCTCAGACAAGGCTTTTTATGTACTTATGTGCAAAAGGTGTACAAAGCACAACTAAGGCACATGTCTTAAATTGTGATGCGCAAGCCTTTGGGAAGTATAGCCTGAAAATCAACGTTGTGATGTGTTTTACCTTAGCCTCGCTTGGAGGCGAGCCTCAATGAAGCCTTTTGAAACTTTGATTATTTGAGTAGATTGTCTGGTTGAACCACTAAAATCTTTTAATAAAATTACTTCACATTTTATGTTAATTTGAGTGTTTTCCATGTTAATTCCGTTTTAAGATATATCTATCTATCTATATAAAATATAAATTTCTACTAGTCAAGTTTGTTCATTTTCTAGTTCCTTAAGGTTTTATTTGTACTATCTATTGAAAAAAATAAGGGAAAATATAAGATTTTAAAAGAAAGTTGTCCTTTCACATTGCTAAATATCAAATAATGGTCCTCTCCTCTCTAAGGTTAAGCATGAATGCTTTTAATAAATTCTTCCTTGAAGATTTCTCTTGAAATGTAATTTGTTTTAGCATTAGAGTTAAAAGGCTCATTGATACTTGGTAAAGAATAGTAATGGATGGCATAACAACCAAAAGAAAAATAAGGCTATAATTGTTTTGTAAAAGAGTTGCTAGAATTGAAAACAACATACTCTACAAAATTGATAGAAAAGCTTACTCCGAGGTTGTAATTATTTATTGTATATTTATTGTAATTATTTTTTCAGTTCTCAAAGAGGTTGTAACCAAGGAATATGAGTGTGCAGCATGGTATGAATGAGATGTCTTATGTTGGTTAAATATTTATTTCTAGTTTTCTATTCTCAACTCTATACTATCAATTTAGCATGCGAGAAAAAAAGATTACTTAAAATGTACATTTCAGATTGAGAATTTTACTTCCATAGTTTAGTTAAGGGTAAATTATATTTAACATCCTTGAAGGTTTGCTTTTAATACAAATTCTTCCCTAATGCTTTGTAAATTAAACAAACTCCCCTTGTCAGTGTTTATCGATTGACAGGGTTAACAAAAATGATTAAATGACCTTTTTACCTTTTAATCATTTATCTATTTTCAATGGTGCCGTTATTTCCCTCTTTTCATATTTCCCACCTCCCACTACCCCCATTGTCATCTTCCACCTTCTATTCCCAACAACCACGTTCACCCACCCCCACCACGCTGCTACCTTTCCCTTTCCACCCCCACCTCCATCTTTCCATACCCCCAATTGCCACCTTCCCCTTTCCACCCCCACCTCCATCTTCCCATACCCCCAATTGCCACCTTCCCCTTCTATCCCCAACTAACTCCTTTCCATTCCCAGCCGCACCTCACCCTTAACCTTTCCCTCGTCCCCCTCCACTACCCCAAACCATTGGCTAGCAAAATCAAGCTCAAGTCAAAATCAAATACACAAATCAATACCAAACCCAAACCCAATCAAATCAAACCATACACAAAATGAAAATGAAAATAAAATCCTAATGGCAGAGATTGATTGGAGAGAGAAGGGGAAGGGAAAGGTGGTTGTGAAGTGGTGTTAGGCAAGGGAGATGAAGGATAGGGGAAATGGGAGGTCTGTGATGGGGGAGGAGAGAGAAGAGAGGAGAGATGATCTGTGATGGAGGGAAGAGGATGATTATGGCAGTTGACAAAGAGGGAGGTGGTTTCGGTGAGGTGGTGGGAGGTGTTGTCGTGAAGGGATGGGAGGTCAAGGTTTTGAATGAAAATGGTGGGGATGGTGGTGACGGGTTTGGTGGAGCTTGTGATATGGGAGCTTGGGGTGGTTTTGTGAGAGTTTTAATGAGAGAGAATGAGGGAGGCAGGAGAGGGGAAGAGATGGCCATGGTGGTGGGCTTTTGGTTCATGTAGACACAAATTTTAAAACATAAAGTGTTTCAACACATTTTCAAATTTTATGTTACAAATGTTTACTGTTTAGTTTTTGGACTAAACAGTGTTAATTATTTGAATAGCAGGTTCTTATTTCCGATCTGTATTTCAGATCGTTAATTACACATTTTTATACAAATGAAACCTCCGATTAATGAAGAATAAAATAAACAACAAAAGACAATTTAAGAAAAATAAATATTTTATTGAAATTATTATTGGCTTTGAACCCTCGAATACAAAATACAATTCTTGGGTTTGGAACCCTTTACCTATTCATCGCCATTAGTAGTGAATGTGTCCGTCACCCCAATGCCTTGAGAGTTTGTGTGTAGACTTCACCTCCTTTTATGAGAAGGTGAAGATATTTCTTGGATGCTTTGCTTTGAAAACCCAACTTGCAGATTCTTCAAACTTGTCTACTGCATAATTTGAGGCCCAATATTATGAGAAGAAGCTTCATTTCGACAAAGTTTCTGGCGAACATGAACAGTTGTCTGCTTCAATTATCAAGTCGGATGAGCACATTGCGAGTCTTAATCTAAGGATTATTCAAACAAAAGAGTTACTCAAACAACTTGAAGAGGAATTGTCATCCACCCAAGCGGAACATGCATCCTTTATGTGTGATTTTGCACAAGCTTCCGAGAGTGTTTCTAAATCAGAAGAAGACGTGCAAACTGCTCTGAATGTTTTGAGCCAACACAAGAAGAAGAATGGACAACACAGTGTTGTGGAACGTGCTTTTGAAAAGGCCAAGGCTTCTCTTAATGAGTGAATGCACTTTTATTTTGTTATTCATCCGAACATAATGTATTTATGAAATTTCGCTCAGTGATAGATTTATTTGTTATATGAAATTTCTCAATACAATAAATTGATTTGTCTTATTTTAGCCGTTCACAGTTTATACTCCTGCTGGCCAGGAGTATCCAATGTTTTACCACCTTAGATTTCGATGGGATATTTTAGCAGTTTAACCACATACAATACCGTTGGTGGTTTTTGACTTTTGTTTGGCCGTACACAGTTTATACTCTTGCAAGCCAGGAGTATCCAATGTTTTACCACCTTAGATTTCGGTGGGATATTTTAGCAGTTTAACCACATACAATACCGTTGGTGGTATTCGACTTTTGTTTGGCCGTACACAGTTTATACTCTTGCGGCCAGGAGTATCCAATGTTTTACCATCTTAGATTTCAGTGGGATATTTTAGCAGTTTAACCACATATTATACCGTTGGTGGTTTTTTTTTTTTGCCTAGGCCGCCCTTTTCGGGTTTTCAACCTAGCAGGCTTTCTTAAGGGTAATATCTCTTCAAGAACCTTGCATTAGTTGGGGGAATGATTCTATCACCATCCATCGTTATCAACAAATAGGCCCCATTAGAATAAATCTTCTCAATCACATAAGGTCCTTCCCATTTGGGCTCAAGCTTTGGTTCTTCGTGAGACTACTATGGGTGTTCTAACCATTAGTACCAAGTCTCCCTTTTTAAAGGAACGAAGCCTCACTCTTTTATTGAATGCATTTGCCATCCTTTGTTGGTAGATCTCCAAGTTCTGTTGAGCATACAACCTTCTTTCATCCAGGGTCTCGAGCTCAGCCAACCTCACTCTTGCACTTTCATTTTCTGTTAAGGACTCTTGTATTGCAACTCGCAATGATGGTATGTGAACCTCAAGTGGTAACACGGCTTCTCCAAAAACCAATGAATAAGGGGTTGCTTGAGTAGGAGTTCTGTGCGAAGTCTGATAAGCCCATAAAGCTTCTTGTAACTTTTCGTGCCAAGCTCTTTTGTTCTTATCCACCATCTTCTTGAGAATTTTGCACAATGTCTTGTTGAAAGCTTCTGCCAAACCATTGGCAGGTGCATGATATCGTGATGAATGGTTGTTTTTGATTTTGTACTTGGCAAATAACTTGTTCAAAGCATCACTCCTGAATGGCTGTCCATTATCCATGATGATACTTTTTGGAATCCCGAACCTGTAAATGATATGGGTTCGGATGAACTCAGAGACAACTGTGCTTTTTATATCCTTTAAAGCCACGGCCTCTGCCCATTTTGAGAAATAGTCAGTTGCAGCTAGGATGTATCGATATCCTGCTGAAGATGGAGGTACAAAAGGACCAATAATGTCCATACCGCATGCTGCAAATGGCCAAGAACAAGTTGTTAAATGTAAAGGCTCTGGGGGTTGGTGGAGAAAGTTCCCATGGAATTGGCAGACCTGGCATCTTCGAGCATAACCTATGCAATCTGCAATCATAGTCGGCCAATAGTATCCCAACCGTTTTAGCTGCATATGTAATTTATGACCACTTTGGTGTGCCCACATACAACTGCATGTATTTCTGCCATTACCTCTTGAATACACGCCTTGGCTATACACCGCATGAACATTCTACCAAAGACCTTTTGTATAACCCATCCTTCCACGAGACGAATTTGGTAGCCCTACGTCTCACTTCAATTCTTTTTACTTTATCTTCAGGTAGCCTACCATGTTGGAGGCGAGCTATGAATGGTTCCCGCCAATCCTCCTCGTTTTCTCCTTTCGTGGTGACGACCAAGATTAGAACTAAGTCAGAAACTTCTTTTAAAGGTTGTAACA